AACAGGTGAGGCATCTGAGCCAGAGGGGCCGCGGCCTGACGCAAATTGCACCTGAGTGCCTCCAGCGGCCAAGAAACCACCATCCGTGGGTACTGTGGAGCACGAAAGACCACTGGCGGAAATAAGCTGCGCCTGGGTACCACCGTCAACGGCCGAGAGTCCATCGCCCGTGGAAACAGATGAGTCGTAGCAAACGCCAACTGACGTAAGCTGGTCTGGTCTGCCTCGGACGGCAGAGAGGCCCGCAGCTGAAATGCTTGGGGCAGCTCCTCGGTGCTCGTCCGTGCGGTTGCACGCGTCTGGGGTGGGAGTGAGGTCGGTGCAGTCACCTGGCGAGGCAGAGCAGAACCACGGCTCCTCCGAAGTCCCAATCGAGGTGGATGGGCCGAGCTCTGCCTCCAGCACCTCCGCGGCGCACAGTCTCCAACAGTGGATGCGGTCGTCGAAGTAGACGGTGGGGGCCTGCGTTGCCGACGTGGCCTGGGACTGACGGTCGAACCACCGCTCCGCGGCTGACTGGTAGCGGTCCTGCTGAGCCGCCTCACGCTCAAAAGCCTCCTGATTGGTAACCTGCAGGTGCTCTAACCATTGCCGCTGGAGGCGCCTGGCCTCCCCTCCACGGTTCCAGGCTTCGTCACCCAACTCCCGTGCAGTCCTCATGCGTTCGGCAATTCGGGATCCGCTGCCCGTGGTGGCTGCCAGGTCGTCCAGCATGGCTGTGTACTCCCCAGAACTCAGCTGGTGGAAGATGCACGGTACGCAGTAGGAGTCCCAGTGCCTGCGGTCCTGAGCCTCGGTCCCCACAGACGGGGGGCGCCAGTGCCGAGCCATGCGGCGCATACGCGTGGCCAGGATGGCCAGCTGCCGTCTGCCCAGGCGGACGAGTCTGGGCTCTCGTGGCTTGGCCTCTGGCGGTGCATCAGGTCCCCAGGGCTGGGCCTTACGCATCTGCGTCCCCAGCTGGGACGGCGGCTGCTGCTTCCAAGTCCCGCCTGAGCTGAGCCAACTTGGCTGCGCCATCGGGGCCGCGGAGGCTGGGTGGCTCTGGAAGGTGAGCAACAGGAGGCCCAGCAGGGGCCCCAGGCGACCCAGGGGCAGGGGCCTGGGCCGGGGCCGCGGCGGCCGCTGGGGCCTCCGCGGGGCCTGCTGCCGCAGGGCCTGCGGCTGGCGGCTGGGCTGGCGTCTGGTCTGCTGCTCCTGCCGCCTCGGTGCGTGGCCGCTTGCGCCTGGCCAGCAGCTGCTGGTGCTTGGCGTCGATCTCGCTGCGCCTCTGCTCCAGCTGCGTCTTGGCCTCCCCGAAGGTGGTGCGCACGTGCTGCTTGACCTGCTCGACGAAGCCCTCCAGGGACTTGTTGAACTCCTCGCGCTCCGCGTCGGTGATGTCCAGATCGGGGTCGTCCAGCCTGAAGGCGTCGCCTGCCTCGACCTGGAAGTCCTCCGCCAAAAGCGCGGTGACGTTGAGGCCCACGGCAGGCTGAGCCTTGGCGCCAGACTCCTGCGCCGCCTGCGCCTGCACCTGGACGCCCTTGGGCGCGGCTGCCTTGTAGGCCTCCTCCACCTCCGCGTCGCACGCCAGGACGAGCTCCCCAGCACGCACCTCCTCCTCGCGGCAGGCCTGGAGCCACTGCTCAGCGTCGCGAACCTGCTGGGACTTGGAGAGGAAGGCGGCTTGGGCCCGCCTCTGCTTGGCTTGGGCGCGGTTGAGAGCCACATCTGGCAACGCCGTGGCCGCAACGGGCGGTGGTGCGACGGCCTTCTTGATGGCCTCGAGCTGCAGGCCGTGCTCGGGATGCCTGGCCGCCAACGCCGCGAGGCACTCTGCGTCCGACGGCGGGGCAGGCTGCGGCCGTGGTGCCTGGTACCCGATCCAGTCGTCCGAGTGCACCCACGGCTCGCGCACGAAAGACCACGCCGATGCCCGTAGCTGCGGAGGCTTGTCCACTGCTGCAGGCTTGAGCGGCTTCTTGCAATTGTAGCAGTCCATCCTGGCCTTGAAGTTCCACTTGTACGAGCAGTTCGCACAGCGGACGTAGTCCAGGGGGTCGCCTCCGCTCGCGTTGGTCTTGCCTGCCTTGCCAACTCCTTTGCTCTTGCCTTTGCCGCCGCCACCCTTGGCCCGCGGCTCGGACCTGGCCCTCTGCGCGGAACTGGACATGGCGAGTGGGCAGCGCACAGCCTACCCCTTGCCAGAACACGAATCAAAACTGTCGGGCCGAGAGGCCCTGGCACTGGCCGCGGACTAGCGGTATCCACTCGTTCCCCTGTGGAACAGATCATCTTGAGCCAAAATGGCTACGGGTGTGTTTGTGTGTGTGTGTGTGCGTGCTTGTGTGTGTGCGTGCGTGCGTGCGTGCGTGCGTGCGTGCGTTTTCCACAGACACAGAGCACACACACACACACGCTCACAAACACACACTCGCACACACACACACACACACTCACACTCACAATCGCACTCACATTCACACTGACACTCACACTCACGCTCACACTCAAACTCACACTCACACGCACACACGCACACACACGCACACACACACACCGTGTGTGTGTGTGTGTGTGTGTGTTCCACAGTGTGTTTTTCTCCACAGTGTCTTTTTCCCCACGGTGTTTGTTGGTCCACAGGCTTCCACGTGTTCGTCTAGCGTGTGGCTTCTGGAGGTTCCATCTGTAAGTCCAACCGTGTGTAGTTTCGGGTTTCTCGTCGGCGGCGAGCCCAGGGGGGACGCGAGAGGTGGCAGACTTTCTCAGAAGGCAGCGGGGCTTCCCAGAAGCCCTCGCGCCTGCTGAGAAGCCTTGCAAGCCTTCCCCGAAGACACCGGCGGCTTGTCAGAAGGTGCCAGGGCTTCTGAGAAGCCCCGCCACCTTCTGAGAAGGCCTGCCCCTGTCGGACGCCTGGTGGCTGTTGGGGTCGTTTCTGGGCTCTCCAGTGGCTGCTCGGGATCATCTGGGCACCCCCAGGCGCCTCTCGGCGAGGCGCAGCCGCTGGAACTCATCCCGAGGCTGGAAACCGCGGAGGACCGACGAGCACGCCCGAAACCCTCTGACCTCGAATCAGAACTTCCCAAACTTTCCCTCTCGGCTCATACGGTGCGGGCAGCGAGGGCCTGCCCAGCACGCAGAGTGGCGGCAGCGCAGGAGGACGAGGAGGAGGAGGAGGAGGAGGAGGAGGAGGAGGAGGAGAAGGAGAGGGGGAGGGGAGTAAGGAGGAGGAGGAGGGAGGAGGGGAGGGGGAGAGAAGGAGGGAGGAGGAGGAGGAGGAGGAGGAGGAGGAGGAGGAGGAGCAGGAGGAGCCCTCTGGGAGCGCTTGGGAGCGCATGGGAGCGCGTGGGAGCTGGGGGTCGAATCGCACGGCGCAGCGCCGCGGCCCTGTGGCTCGCACTGGGCCAGCCTCTCGCGGCCAGGCGTCTCGCTGCTTCTGCACCTGCCCTCCTGCTTTCCTCCTCCTCCTCCTCCTCCTCCTCCGTTCCTCTCCTCCTCGTCCTCCCTCCCTCCTCCTCCTCCTCCTCCTCCTCCCTCCTCCTCCTCCTCCTTCCCTCCTCCTCCTCCTCCTCCTCCTCCTCCTGCCTCACCTCCTCCTCCTCCTCCTCCTCCTCCTCCTCCTCCTCCGACTCCTCCCCTCCCCCCCTCCCCCTCCTCCCCTCCTCCTCCTCCTCCTCCTCCTCCTCCTCCTCCTCCTCCTCCTCCTCCTCCTTCCGCCTTTCTACGTAGGTCGGATCGGGCCCCGTCTTTTCCTTCTCGCTCTCTTTGCTCTCTCGCTTCGTGCCTGTATTCGCTTCCCGTGCAGCCCACTGGTCGTTTTGACCAGCGTCTGACCGTTTCGCTCACCCTGGCACCCGCGGACTTACAAGTGTTGGGAGGTCGCCCCCCTTTCTGGGAGTTCGCCCCCTTCCCCCGAGTTCCCCTCCCCCTTTTCGGGAGTTCCCCCCCCCCCTTCGGGAGTTTCCCCTGCCTTTTTCCGGAGCCCCCCCCCCCAAAGGCAGGTAAGCCAGTGGAGCAAGCCAATGCCCGGGGAGGTGACCCAGACATGCCCAGACATGCAACGTTTTGAAACAGCGGGGCGGGCGTTGTTCGTAGTTTTCGACCCTCGGGGCCCCTCGCCAGGTCGCGGGGCCGTCAAGAACGACTCGGGGTTAGAGGCCGGCCCCGGGGAGGGGGTCGGACTTCCGGGGGCCGCGCACGGAACAGGGCACGACGTCGCAGGTCTGGGGAGCCAAGCCAGGAGCGGACGAGTGCACAGGCCGAGATGGTTCCGAGGGGGAGGCGTACAGCAGAGAGCGGAGCAGTGGGGACGGACTGCGGAGCAGTTTTCAGGCGATCGCAAACATGGATCAAGGGGGCGTGGATTAGTGACGGGTCTCGTTTTCCATGGGAAATCGCGGACTTCCGCCGCCGAGCGAGGCGGCCTGGCCGCATTTTGGGGAGGGCACCTCCCCCGATGCATAGATTTGGCAAACGCGCGCCAGATCCATGGATCGCTAATCCATGTGTTGCGCGCCCCCGAAGTTTGGCGGGGTGGCAGCAGAGTGGGTTGGAGCAGTCGGTGTGTGCAGTGCGACGCCCCACGGTAGGGCTCAGTGCCTCCTGGCTCGTTGCTCAAACGGCTGTGCAGTGCACTCCGAGTTGCGAGCCTGTGTGTTCAAGGTTGGCATCTGGAGGCGGTTGCAAGCGATGGTGTGACTAGTGCGCCAGGGGTGCCGCAGGTCTTGGGTAACAGCCGTGCGGTAGCCTCCGAGGAGGGACACAGATGAGCAAGAGCGATACATGTTCTGTGCACAGGAGACTTGTGTGTGCGGCTTTCCGTTCGCCTGCGTGCGCATTGGTGACAGGCTACGGCTTAACATATTCTGTCCACACAGGTGTCTGGGGGCGGCTGCGCGATGGGTTACATGTTCTGTGCGCAGAGGTCAACCAGTACGACGCCTTTGCAGCCTCTCTTTCTCTTCCTTCAGTAGTCGTTGCGGCTCAGGCGCGCCCGCGCGCGTTCGCTCGCGCGGGCGATGCTCAGCATGGGCGGAGGCGGCGCGAGACCGCCAGGCGGCTCCGGTCCTGGCGGCCGCGGGCAGCTGGCAAGGTCGCCCATCGCGCCGTTCGGCGGTGGCGTGTCGAAGTCCGAGCGCGCGCTCGTGGCCGGCACCGATGGCAGCGTGGCACAGGTTACCGCCAGCATCCAGGACGCTGTGCAAACGTACGGGCCGTCGCCAGGGGCCAAGAAGATGATGGCCGCGGAGCAGGCGGCCGCGGAGGAGGCCATCAGCACTGGCCTTTACGGCGTCTGGCGGAACCACTCCGGCCGCCACGATTTCTGCAGCCGCATCGGTCCTCGCTCCCGGTGCTTCTGCGGCCATGACTACAGCGAGCACTCATGGAGCAGGTCCAGGCGCGAGCCAGCGCCGTCTTGCGCGAGGTGCCCCTGCCAGTGCTTCCGGTACGTGCCGCGGCGGCCGGAGGAGGTAGGCGAGGGTTGGCTGCCACGCCGCCGCGGGTTCGACGTCAACATCTGGCGGGCGAAGTGTAAGTGCCAGTACGGCCACGACCAGCACGACCCCGTGACCCTCGCCTGCCCTGGCCGTGGTGGGAAGTACACCTCCGCCTGGCAGTGCGTCAGCTGCGAGGGCAAGTGGGAGGACCACGAGTCGCTGTGGGAGTCAGAGGCCGAGCGGCGAGCGGCTGGACATCCCGTCGGGCAGGCGTTCATGCCTCTCGCCTCCACACCTGGCGTTCAGGGGCAACGATACGGGGGGGATAGGCATAAGGGGGGGGGATGCATCGGCCCCCAGTCGCCCATCGATGGCCGATAGGGGCCCGAGAGCCCTAATCTGCCCAAGAGCGTGCGGATTCACTATCGGGGACCTATCGCCGTGCTATCAGCGATGTCTCGCGGATTCCAGGTCGATGTGCCTCCCCATGTACCAGTCCCCCCCTACCGCTGCCCCCCAGGCGTCCGCGAGGCCGTCTTCCGCGAGGACGGTGGTGGAGAGACCCTGGCGGCGCTCGAGGCAGGCCAGCCGCGCTCCTACTCGCTGCCCCACCGCCCCTGGCCCGAGCGGAGCGTCCGGCTCATGCAGGCGCACTGCCCGAACTACGGCGGCGCCTCTGGCTCCCTGGAGGACGCCTTCCCGCCGCGCGGCGGGGGCCGCCCGCCCGGCGGCTCCCTGGAGGACGCCTTCCCGCCGCGCGGCGGGGGCCGCCCGCCCGGCGGCTCCCTGGAGGACGCCTTCCCGCCGCGCGGCGGGGGCCGCCCCCCGCCGGCGCCGCCGCCCGCGCAGCCGTTCGTGAGGCCTGCGGCCACGTGCGAACCCCTGTGCCCCTGCGGATGCCGCCGACGCGGGGGCACCGGGCGCTCCGATCGGCCGGTGTCCACCCGGCTGCGGGCATCCCTCGAAAACCCTCCCAGACATCCGACCTCTCGATGTTTTCGAGATGCGGGCCCCCGACCTCCCGACCACTCCCCCCGGGACCGGTTTTTCATCCCGAGTCGTTTTCTGACGGTCCCGAGGCCCGGCGAGGGCCCCGAGTCCGAGGCAGGAAACGACGAAAACCCTCCGTCTCGATCTTGTCGAGACGCCCGATGTCTGGGCTGAGCTGACCTGCAGAGGCGAGGGTTCACACGTGGTCGCCCATGAGGCGCGTGCCGCCTGCCCCGGGCGCCGCCGGGACCCCGCCCGGCAGCGCCGAGCGCCGGCCCAGCTCGGGGCCGCGGCGGCCTCCTCCGCGGCGCGGGTAGGGCCGCGTCCCCGCGCGGGGCCCTGCCGGGGTGCCACCCGGCTCGCCTGCGGCGCGTCGGCTCTTTCGGCCGCTGCGCGCCGGCGCCCCCAGCCTGGGCCCCGCGCTTCCCCTCCTCGGCCGCCACGGGCAGCGCGCCTCCTGCGCCTCGTCGTCGTCCTCTTCCATCCCGGTCGTCCCTCGTCCCCACCCTCCTCGCCCTTGTCCTGGTCCGATCGGGTTGTGAGCAGTTGCGCGGGCAGCTCTTCTCTGCAGTGCGACTGGAGTGGACAAGCAAGCCTGCGCGTCCAAGAAGCCAGAACCTGCATGATGTGTGTTTTACCGTGCCTTTATGGCAACTGTCCTGATACCGTCGCATCGTGGTTCGTGTCTCTTCCGAGGCCGTGCTGCGCCCAGTTGTAGCACAACTTCCGCCGAAGGCTACCGCCGTTGTAGTAAGGACTACACAGTGCCAAGCATGAGGTAAAACGCGTTGGCAGGGGCTACTCCAGATTTCGTAATAAAAGGGAGGGGGTCTGGACCCTCCAAGACAAGCCATTTCAGACCTCCCCCGTGGGAGAACCCCCCAAAACATCGTCCCCAGACCCCCCAGGCCTTCCAAGATAGCCTGGAAGAGACCCCCCCGAAATGAGACCCCCCTCCCTTTATTACGAAATCTGGAGTAGCGTTTCCAAGCGGATCCAGCCGTCACCACGACGGCGCCCCACGAGGCCCCCAAAAAGGCCCCCAACCTCCCCGAGCCTCGATCCTCCGACCTCGACCCTCGAGCCCCGATCCTGGAGCCCCCAATCCTCGAGCCCCCCTCCCCCCGGGGGCGGCGGAGCGTGCGGGCTCGGAGATGTCCTCCTCCTCCTCTTCCCTCCTCCTCCCTCCTCCTCTCTCCTTCTCCTCCTCCTCCTCCTCCTCCTCCCCTCCTCCTCCTCCTCCTCCTCCTCCTCCTCCTCCCTCCTCCTCCCCTCCCCCCTCCCCCCTCCTCTCCTCCTCGCTCCTCCTCCTCCTCCTCCTCCTCCTCCTCCTCATCCTCCTCCTCCTCCTCCTCCTCCTCCTCCTCCCTCCTCCTCCTCCTCCTCCTCCTCCTCCTCCTCCTCCTCCTCCCCCCCCCTCCTCCTCCTCCTCCTCCTCCTCCTCCTCCTCCTCCTCCTCCTCCTCCTCCTCCTCCTCCTCCTCCTCCTCCTCCTCCTCCTCCTCCTCCTCCTCCGCCCTTCTGTGCCCCGTGCGGCGTATGTCAGGAGGGAAAAAACACACAGACACAATTATTCGTCAATTCCCAAGAAAATATTGGAAAATATGGGAAGTGGGGGGGACGACGAAAACCCAGAAAATATGAGAAAATATGGGGAATCCATTTATTTGTGTGTATTTATTTGTGTGTCCCAGGGCCCCTTCAGTATGACCCCGCGCGGCCGCCGCACGGGCTCAGCATCGAGCCCACCCGGCGCCCGGCACCCTCGACTGCCACGACCTGGTCGGATCGAGCCTCCGACCCTCGAACCTCGGCCCTCGAGCCCTCGAGCCTCCTCGGGAGGAGCCTCCATGACGCAGCCGGCGCCCGCAGGACACGGATGCCTCCCGGACCGGCGCCGCCGGCGCCCTGGGCGGCCTGCACGGGCTGGGCGCCCAGGGGCAGGGCCTGGGCGTCTACCAGGGCTACGCTGCAGGCGCCGCCCGGCCTCGAAGAAGAAGAAGAAGAAGAAGAACAACAACGACGTGCACACCAACTTTCGGAGCTCCGCACGGGTTTGTTGTTTCGGCGCTCGTTCCCCCTTGGCGGCGCCTCTGTCGCCGCCCTGGCGCTGGGCCCATCGCCGACCCAAGAACTCCGCGCGGACCTCCGACAGTGTATGTTCATGCAGCTTGTTGTTCCCTATTGCACCGTTCAAGTCTTGTTTTTGTCGCTCATTGGCTGCTCTTGTTGTTGCTATCTCGCCCCGCTGCTTGCCTGGAATCGCGATGCTACTGTTTCTACGCTTTCAGTGTACGTGTCTCGTCGTGCTCGCTTGTTCGTGAATAGCGCGATTGCGACCGTCTTCCGGAGGGGTCGCATATTCAACGATTTGCACTTCTTGGTTGTTCTCGCTGCAAACCGAAAACGTATTGTTCTCTCCTTCCCTTTTTCAAGGGGGAAAACACACGGACACAAATAATCATCGATGTCCATGAACATATGGAACATGCGGGACGTGGTGTGTGTGGGGGGGGGAAGACGGACATCCAGAAACTGGGAACTCTTGTGTGTGTGTGTGTCTCTGTTGCTTAGTGTGTCCCTGGGCTCCTTCATCATTGCTCTCTCCCCTCCTGCCCCCCCCCCCCCTCCCCTTCCGAGCGCTTTTACGTCGGCGTGGGCCCCGATCGGGGCCGCTGCCGGGCGCCAGAGCCACCAAATTTCGTCCCGGGGCGACTGGCGCCCCCCCCTCGGGCAAGGGGGGGGGGGGGGGGGGGCTGCACGTCGCTTCCCCCGGGCCATAGGGCGACCCGAGGAGAGAGGAGGAGGAGGAGGAGGAGGAGAGGAGGAGGAGGAGGAGGAAGAAGAGGAGGGAGGAGGAGGAGGAGGGATGAGGAGGGAGGAGATGGAGGGGAGGAGGAGGAGGGAGAGGAGGAGGAGAGGGGACGAGGAGGACGGGGAGGAGGAGGAGGAGGAGGAGGGAGAGGGAGGAGGAGGAGGAGGAGGAGGATGGAGGGGAGGAGGAGGAGGAGGAGGAGGAGGAGGCGGAGGGACGAGGAGAGAGGAGAGGAGGAGAGGAGGAAGGAGGGAGGAGGAGGAGGGAGGAGGAGGAGAACGGGTCACCTAAGTCCTTCGGAGAAGCCCTCCAGGGGGGCCGGGACTGCCGGGGGGGGGGACCCACCGCGGCTGCAAGAGAGAGCGCGCAGCTTTGGGTGCGTCCCCGGTCCTCCGCTCGCCCAGTGCCGAGGCCCCCCTCTGAGCGTGGGGCGTGCGCGTGCTCGGGGGAGGGGGCCAGCGCCCTCGGGCAAGAGCTCGTCCATCTCTGAGCGGAGAGGATAAGACAGGCGATCGCAAACACGGATGAAGGGGGCATGGATTAGCGACAGGTCCCATTTCCACGGGAGATCGCGGATTTCCGCCGCCGAGCGATGCGGCACCGGCCGCATTTTGGGGAGGGCACCTCCCCCGATCCATGGATTTGGCGACCGCGCGCCTAATCCATGGATCGCTAATCCATGTTTGCGCGCCCCCGAAGAAAGGGCAGGAGAGGTTATGGAGGAGGATGAGCAGGAGAGGGAGGGGAGGATGTGCGAGGACTCCCGCAGGACGACGACCCGTCTGATGCGCATCTCCTTGACCACATGACGACGCCGCCAACCCTGGCGCTGACAGTTCCGGTCATATATATATATATATATATATAAATAAATAAATAAATAAATAGGCCGCCTTCCCCCCCCGCCTCCGCGGCCGCCCCAGATCTGTCCTCGTCCCCGCCTCTGCACGCTGGCCCATTCGCTTCTCGGTGCCCCCGTTCCGCCCTATCGCGGGTGCGGCCCACTCTGCCTCGCCGCCGACGGCAGAAGTCAGGAGGGGGAAAAACACACAGACACAATGAATCGTCGACTTCGCAGAAAATGTGGGAAAATATGGGCAGTGGGGGGTTGACAGACACTCAGAAAATAGGGGAAAAGATGGGGAATCATTTTGTTGTGTGTATTTATTTGTGTGTCCTTGGGCCTCTTGAAAACGTGTCGTTCGGGGGAGGCCACCCCGAGCGGGGAGTGCCGGCCCTCCGCCCGGGAGCTGCCCGAGCCCCTGGGGCGCCCCGCCGGGCGCTGCCCGGCGCAGCTCGGTACCAGGCCCCCTGCCCTGCCACGAGACGGCGCGAGGTGGCCCCGGACCCTCCCCGGGAGATCAGATAGGGGGCCACATGCGAACCCTACCCCCGCCTCCCAGACCCCCTCGAGTAATGAAAAAAAACATGACGGGAGGTTTTTCCTAATTTTCGGCCTCCGGGGGCCCTCACCGGGCCTCGGGAGCGTCAAAAAACGACTCAGGATGCAAAGCCGGTCATGGGGAAAGGGTCGGGACCTCTGGGGGTCGACGTAACGAAAAAAACATTACGTCGGGGGTCTGGGGACGATGACGATTAATAAATGACCGGGGGTCGTGTTCACGCGGCGGCGCCCAGGATGACGATTAGAGAAAACCGGCCGCGGGCTGGAATAACTATTTTTTATCGTTCTCCTCCAGTCAGAAAGTTATGCAGAAAGAGCAGAACACTATTTGTTTGATCGTTCTCTCCTATTTTTTATTAATCGCCATCCCGGATTAGGGCTCGCATGTGGCCCCCTATCAGAGGAGCTCTCTGGCGGCCGCGCCCCGGCGAGGGCGCGCTCGGGGGCGCCAGGAGCGCCCTTGCTCGGGCGCGCTGGAGCCCCGAGGTGTGGGGGCAGCGCCAGGGGAGGGAAAGGGGGGCAGGCTTCGGGGGGGACGCCTTGACCACGGGAGGAAGAGGTACCCTTACCGCTGGCCTTCCCCCGTTTTCGCCTTCTGGGACCTCCTGGGAGGCCCGCGTTGCCACCGCTGGGTTCGCCTCGAGAGCATGGTCGGGACGCACCCTGTGAGAGGTCCGGGGAGCAGCGGTATTGATACCTCTTGGTGCCCCCAGTCTTGCCGCGCTCCTGGACGTTTCTGGCTGAGCCCGTGAGGGCCTCCAGCGACTTCTGAAGGGTTGACCTCCAGGGCGCTCCGCAGACCTACGGTCCCGCGTATGATTATGAAACCAAACCTCCCCCCGAAAAGCTGGCCCAGCGTTTCTGAACCAACTTGCCGGAAATATGGCTCAGTTCCTTAAGGGGATTGGTAGCCTTGGATCCTAGAAATAAATAGTGTACGTTCCTGGCTCTAGAAGCTGGACCAGCCGTTCCTTAAGAGACTTCTGAAACGCTGGCCCAGCTTTCTTAATTGATCATTGTCTTAATCATATGGTTGACTGTACTCCCCCTCCCCTCCCCTCCGCCTGCTTCTCCCTGGCCATGCGCACACACGGGTCGCCCACCCACTGGGGCGATGCAGCATCAATTCCTCCAGGGGACTATTGCCATACCACGTTCGCTTGTTCGCTTCCCCACTCCTTTCATGTCTCCCCCCAGGAGTCCAGATCCGCTCGGACCGCCAAGGGACGTTGGGGCGAGGATGGGGCGATAGCTCGCCGCCAGTCGATGCAGTCCCTCGGGGGAGAAGTGTCGATCAGCACTTGGCGCTGGGCACCCTGCCATCGTGGCTATGCATCACCCCCCGGTTGAGGCCCCCCACTCGCCGAACCCTGCTCCCTTTGCGGGTTCTAGCAGTGGCGGCCCGCCCGTGCCCGCACGATACGCACCGGGACCATGCCCCTCCTCCTCCCCATCCTCGTTTGCTCGCTCTCGGCGCCCTGCTTGCTTCAGGTCACCGTGACGGCGTGTGGCCGTCTCTTGCCACCGGAGCGACGCGGGACAACTGGGTTGCCTTCACCGACACTCGCGCGCAAGCTGCCCGCCGCGTAGGGGCGCGCGTGAGCGCCCCCATCTCTACTGTGGCGTGCCGCGCTGGCGGCCCGCGTACGGTAGGTTTGCGTCGTGTCGACCAGCGGCGACCCCAGCGCGGGCGTTCAAGGTTGAACGCCGCAGGCGACCCAGAATCGATCGATGTTGAACGATCGGACGTTGCGGCAGCGGCCGATCGTTCAAGGTTGAACGATCCCCGCGGTGTCAGAAACCAATGCCGGGGTCGACACGACGCGAACCTGCCGTAAGCCGTGGCATGAGGTCGCTATGCCATCTCGCACGATGCCTCTTTCTCCTCGCTGCCCACGTGTGTTCCAGCAAGGGCCGCTTCGCTTCGACCGGAAGAGGCTCGCTCTCGACCCGCGGATCAAAAAGAGTGTTCCAGCAAGGGCGCTTTCGCCCTTCACCGCGTCCTTCTCCGCCCTCTGTGCCTCAGTTCGTTCCCGGCGTGTCCCGCGTAGCCCGACCGGCGCATGCATCAGTCAGGAGGGAAAGAAACACACAGACACAATGAATCGTCGATCCCCAGAAAATATTTGAAAATATGGGAAGTGGGGGGGAAGACAGAAACCCAGAAAATATAGGGAAATATGGGGAACCTTTTTATTTGTGAGTATTTATTCGTGTGTCCCAGGGCCCCTTCAATCAGCTTCGTCTCGCTTGCGCCCGCTGACTTCAAAAATCGTATTCCAGCAAGTGCTTCACCCCCAAACGGTCCGTCGAAGCAGCGACCAAAGAGCACAGCCGGGTACAGCGCTGCATAGTGCAGCATCGGCCTTCACCCCTCTCGATTGGGGTTGCGGATCTGCTTCGCGACCGGTGTCCACTTGGCTAGTGATGCGGACAGTACGCGCGCGAGCGAACTCCTCGTTGACGTCGCCGCGCCGCTCGTTCCGACGCGCGCCGTTTTCAATCTCGAATCGTTTTTTTACGGCCTCGGGCCCCGTCGAGCGCCTCCAGAGGCAGAACACTGCGAGAGACTGCCTTCTTGTCTTCTTCCCTGACGTTGGAAATCTGGGTTTATCGCAGGCCTGGAGGTTGACACCAACACCAAAATCGGCGGTGTGCCTCCCCTGAGGGAAGATGATCCCGATCTCGGTGATGGTGGTAATATTCGGGCTTTCTAGGTGGCCGAAAGATTGCCACCAACACCACAATCCAGGATCATCTTCCTCCCGTGGAGGCAACCCCCTGTGTTGGTGTTGGTGCCCATTTCCAGGCCTCCTAGTTCAGCGTTCCTCGTGGCAGCAGCTCGACTGTGTTCGGGATCTCCCAGCGCTGGAAGCACGCGCCAGGTGAGGCGCTGCTGTCCACCCCGGCGAGCACGGCGGGCGACGGCGCGGCCGCGGCGGTCGCCGCGGCCGCGGCCGCGGCCGCAGCGGCGGGAGGGTTCAGTCCGCTGGCGGGTGGGTTCTTGTCGCCGTCTTTGGCTCCTGCTGCTGCTGCTGCTCCTCCTCCTTCTTCCTTCTCACTCCTCCTCCTCCTCCTCCTCCTCCTCCTCCTTAATCCTCCTCCCGCTCCTCCTTCTCCTTCTCCTCGAGCGAACATCGACTGTCTTGCCGGGATGGGAGAGTTTCAGAGAAACGAGTGAGCAGCAGTAGACTTAGCAGTAGACTTAACAGTAGGGCCTTGAGGATGCTCCTTCTTTTGCTCAAACTTCTGGGGACCCCACTTTTGCTCCGCCTGACTCACAAGGCTCTCGAAACCTTCAGAGGCTCCTGGAGATTTTTCAGTGGTGAGATCCATACTATCGGTAATGACATCTCTCTCAGCGGTAGTAGAGCAGGTTGTACTTCCTTCTATAGTTTTGGACGGGTGCCTTTGGTATCTGAATGGCGCCCGGACAAGTGTGTTTCATTTTGTAGATAAGGGGGCTGGGCCCCCTGACGTGAATCAAATGTTGCGGGGTGCGTTCGACCCATGCCTCTTCGTTTTCATACCCGAATGATGATGAGATGTATGCGTATATCGTATTACGTGGCTCACATGGTCTTATGGTATATCGTCTTGTTTGGTTGCTTGGACTTGGGCACAGAAGGGAATTGCTGCGGTGGGGCCAAGCCCATGTATCTGGGTGGCGGTGCGTGTCAGTGTTGCGTTCGTGTCGGCACGTCGTCAGGGTGCTATAAGTAGTGGTAAGGGAAGTCGTATCTGTCGTCGGTCGTTTGTATGTTGGATCTTCAGTCGTGGTCGTGGAGTAGTAGTCGTCGTGTCCTTGTTCGCCCCTTGTCCTGTTTGTTTGAGGAAGTCCTGTGGGTGCTGCGATTGTGTAGTCCTTCGAAAATAGATATGCGTTGCTGAAGTCGTTGGCGTGATACGGTGCAGTCTGGATGTGGAAGCTCGTTCACGTGTAGAGCGACGCTGGATATGTACAAGGTAGGTTCTTGCCAACTGGATTGATCATTTTTGCTGCTTTGACATGTGGAGCGTTCCACAAATGGCTTTAACTTCGAGGATCGAAGGAGTTGCCATCTCTTCGCTGGCGGGAGGCGGCGAACAATCGGCGGCGGTTGAAGTTGGAGGAAGGCCGGTGAAAGGCGGCGGAAGTGAAGGATGCGCCTGAAAGAGATGACAGTTTCTTTGGGTTCACGGTTTCTGGAACTCGCCGTGTAAGGTGGGCGTACACAGAGCGTTGGGAACGACGATGATGGTGATGATGATGGTGGTGACGACGACGACGACGACGACGACGACGACGACGACGACGACGATGATGATGATGATGATGATGATGATGATGATGATGGTGTGATGGTGATGATGGTGTTGATGCTGGTGATGTTGATGGTGTTGAGGATGCTGATGATGATGAGGTTGAGGATGATGCTCGTGATGATGATGGTTATGATGACGATGATGATGCTGCTGATGATGCTGCTGATTATGATGGTGATGGTGATGGTGATGGTGGTGATGATGATTATGATGGCGATGATGATGCCGATGATGGCGATGATGATGTTTATGATGCTGACGGTGATGATGATTGCAATGGTGATGGTGATGGTGCTGATGGTGATGGCGATGATGATGATTCTGATGATGACGAGGATAATGAGGACGATAATGATGATGATGCTGATGACGATGATGATGCTGATGATGCTGATGATGGTGATGACGATGATGCTGGTGATGGTGATGGTGATGATGATATGTATTCAGGTCCTGGCGGGCGGGCAGGCTGCCAGCGCGCCGGGATCCAGCGCGGCACACGTCGCAGGCCTTGCGGCCAGCCTTTCAGATGAGACTGGCTGGAGCGACGATGCACTTGCGCCAGGGAGGGGGCTCCAGCAGATCCGAGAAATCCGCGCAGACCTCCGAAATTATCTGTCATGGCGTTTCTCGTTCTCTCCTTGAGAAACCTCTCGTCTTCGCCTTGGCCCGACGCTTCTTCGGCGGCCATGGTTGAACTTGCCCAGTTTCTCAGCCACCTTGCAGATGCACAGGGCAGATCGCGCGAGACTGGCCCAGCGTTTGCTCAAGATGTTTTTTCGAAAGTCTGCCCAGGCTTCTTTGGACAGTAACGAATGTCGTCATCTTACGTCGCCTTCCTTGGCGGTAATGGAGTTGCAGGGAGGTTCAGTGTACAGTCGGGTTTGGTTAGCACTTCTATCCTGCAAAGTCAAAGGTGCCCTAGTGTCCTCTCCATCGCGTTCCTGTGCATGTCCTGAGCACGGGTTGCTCTCGGAAGAGACTTTTGTACCCTCCTGGGTGTAATCCGCCAGTGACGACTGTACTGCCAGCGGAGGTTTTAACAGACTGCGGTTTGTCGTGTTGAAGTGGCTTCGAAATTTTCAGCAGATGCGATCTGCTGTGTTACCAGGTGCGGCCAGATTTTTATTATCCCACTCACTATTATCCCCCCATGTGGCTCTTCCAGGGAGGGGGGGTCCTGGCGAGCGGTGTCCCCAGACAGACATCTGGCGGCTCAACAGTATTGCGCCAGAGATTTGGTCGCTCTTTTTGTATCAAACTCCGCAGAGTGGTTTTCAGCCATGGGCCGTCATACAGTCAACGCGCATGATAAAGACAAGCGACGTCTCAAGGGTACCCTTATGTCCTTGCTTATACGGCCCGTCCTCTGCTGTTTTCGCTTGCCAGCATCTCAGGGTACCCCTGAGGCACCGCAAAAAGTGCAACCTGGGCGTGCAAGGCCCACGCGTCCCTACCGCGCGCCCTTACCATCAATTCTCACGGTAGTACGAGTCAAAAAGTGGGCCCGGAATTTCGGGCCGGACGACATCGCAGGATTGGGAAAGGGGGGGGTACGACATCTGCTGCGTGCAGCTGGTTTCGGCCCCGCCGCCGGGCCCATGCCTCGATACACGGGCGCCTCCCAGCGCTGGTAAGCGCTAGGAAAACCAGCCACGTAAGCTGAGTCTCTACCCTTCCCTTTGTTACCCTACACTTTCAAGACGAAGCCAGGACGAGGATACCACCGGGTCAGGAAAAATCGAGAATCTCTAAGATGGCGGCTCTGGAGGATGCATCTGGCGCTGCGGCCTCCTCAGAGCGTCCCTGAGCGATCTGAAAGTTTTCCAGGACGCTCTGTAACGGATAGAGATTTGTCTCAGTTGCTTCGATACGCGCGAATGCAACGCCTACTGTGCTTACGCCGTTCGTGACAATACGTTGCGTGTGTCTTCAGCTGATTGGCCCACGTTCTGGCGAACGCATCGCGTCAGTTCGCTCAACACGTTGAGCTCCGTACCAATACGCTGCGTGCTGCGTGTTGCGGATTTGGGCAGCTGTCGCAGGCCTGCAGGTTGACACCAACACCAATATCGGCGGTGTGCCTCCAACGAGGGAAGAAGATCCCGATCTCGGTGATGGTGGTCATATTCGGGCCTCCGAGGTGACCGACATATGACCACCAGCATCGACATCCAGGATCATCTCCCCCCTGTGGAGGCACGTCCCCTGTGCTGGTGCTGGTGCCCAATTTCCAGGCCTCCAAAGCCGAGGCCCTCGTCCTGGCCCCGTCCGACCCGCCGTTCCCCACCGAAATGTTACCACCAGCATCGTAATACAGGATCATCCCCCCCTCTGGAGGCACTTCCCCTGTGCTGGTGCTGGTGCCCACTTTCCAGGCCTCCAAAGCCGAGGCCCTCGTCCTGGCCCCGTCCGACCCGCCGTTCCCCACCGCGGCTCGAGCGGAGCACGCCGCCCGAGGTCTCTGCCGCTCCATCCCCTCAGGGGCAGTCCGGGGCGCCTCGGGCGCTCCCCCCAATCAGCAAGCTGTCCATCACCGTTACCATAAGTAGGACGGGGGAGAAGGGAGGGGAGGAGGAGGAGGAGGAGGAGGAGGAGAAGGAGGAGGAGGAGGAGGAGGAGGAGGAGGAGGAGGAGGAGGAGGGGGAGGAGGAGGTGGAGGAGGAGGAGGAGGAGGAGGAGGAGGAGAGGTTGAGGAGGAGGAGGAGGAGGAGGAGGAGCACCTATGGCAGTGGTGGTGGAAAGTGGGCCCATCACCCTCTCCTTCCTGTTTTGTGGTCGCTCGGGGGAGGAAGGGGTGCCCACTCCGCTACCCTTCTCTCGTGTTCGCTTCCCTGGGCCTCCCGGGAGGCCCTCCTCGTCGCCGCAGGATTCGCTTCCAGAGTCTGGCCAAAACGCACCCCGGGAGGTCTGGGGGAGCAGCGGTATCGGTGCCGATTGGTCTCCCCACTCATGGGCATTCTTTGGTCGGGGCCGCCGGGGCCTCTCTTTACGTTGCATTTTCGGGGGGCCTTCCTTCCTCCCTCCTCCTCCTCCTC